TAAGAAAATTTCATAAATGAAGATTCTGTCCTTACTGTTTCTCTGAGGAGCTGAGGAAACACAGATCATAGTGGTTGGTATAACACAAGGAAGAAAGGCCAATCACAGAAACTATTAAAAGGAATTTTTAAAAAAGTTTCTTTTTCTGAAATTGTTAATGAAGCTGTTTTTTTAAACAGATGATCATGTTTCACATTCAGGCATGTGTGAACATTTTAGTTGGTAGTGAAGCGGCAATTTTTTCATTAGCTTATTTTACCCTAGTGATAATTGCTAAAAGAAATGAAGAAAACCATGGTCAATTAATGTTTCTTTTGTTTCCTTTCAAAATAATTGAAAATTAAATACCTGTTGAGAATTTCAGGAAATAGCTCCCCGACTAGATTATAACCTTCTAAAAGACCAGCTTTGCCCCCAGAGTTGTGCTGCCCACTCAGCAGGCCTGTGCTGGTGCTCACATGACCAACAACACTGCTAGCTGAAGGAGGGCTGCAGGGGTGCAGCTCAGATAGAGGCGTTAATGTCAGTTTCTAGGGCTTGGTGATGCATCCTAGCTTTCTCTTTAGTTTCTAAGTAAAAGCATTATACATGATGAAAGTTTTTCGGGCACAGAATGTTATTATAGATCAGGCTATTCAAAATCACAAATAAGACTACCAAAACAAAAGAAGCTAAGCATAGTGAACAGGTGCTCAAAACACTTGTTTTGTCATCTGCTTCTGAATGTTTGCAGCCAATAAATAGCAAATGCCACAAATTTAAGGTATTATATAATTAAAGCAAAGAAATACATATCCACTGAAATAATTCCTTGGGTTTTTATTTTGTTGGGGTTTTTTTAGTGTTAGCATTAGACAACTAGAACTCTTCAGTTAAGTACCACCATACTAAAAAAAAAAAAAAATTAATTATGTATTTGGTATGCAGTTTGGACTCAGAGCAGTCCTCCTGTTTTCAGCCTCCACAGTGCTGAGATTACAGGCGTGTGCTGCCACACCCAGCCTCAGTGGCTGGCTCAGTGCATCCAGGGGCAGGGGCCAGGCCATGCAGCATGTGGTGCTGGGAATCGAACCCCTGTCCCTGCACTTGACTAAGCAGGCACTTAGTCTGCTGAGCTATCTCACCAGCCCTAAAAAAATTTATCTTTGCCTTATCAATACAATTCTCATAAAGGAACAGGATCTCATTCACCACCCTACCTCAGTTGCCTTTTCTATCTCATTTTGGTGTTAGAACCAGATTTGAAAGCCCAGTGCCTGGGAGCTTACAGATAATGGTGTGTGAGGGCAGCATGCCAAGCTGAGAATTCTAGATACATCCCCTGTGCTTGGTGTATCACCATGTGTACCTTCTCTCAAAAACTTTTCATTTTTGCTATGTGTCATGCTCTAAAAAAAAAAAAATGTGCTTTCTCTGCCCATATTTTGCTTTTATGGTGACAGTGGAGCTTGGTAGCACTACTGGTAGAGTTCTAGGGCAAAGCTGTGTCTTATTTGAAGCTGTCCTTTGATATTTTTATAGACCAGGTGTCTTCTGTTTCTTTTAGTAACCTTTTATTTCATCATACCTGATAGCACCTCCTTGAGTCGTTTACAGTTCATTATCAAACATGCGCGACCTGCAGCCCACAGATTGGACGCACCTATGGTATAATTAAAAATAGAGAAAGTTTTGTTACTTATATCAATTAACTATATTCATATGTTTATATGTGGCCCAGGACAATCCTCTTCACTCTCTATGACTCAGGCAGCTTTGGGCCACAGGTTGGACATGCCTTAGTGGTAGACCAGTGCCATTCCAAATTGCTTTTTACTTTCCAACTTGTTGATAATACTTTATTGTCAGGCTGGTGAGATGGCTCAGTGGTCTAAAGCACCTACTTAGAACAAGCTTAGCAAAGCACAGGGACCGCGGTTCAATCCCCCAGCACCACATGCCAGCCA